AGTCCATCTGTTTCTCTGATACTTTGTTAGCCCCCTTTTACCCTGTTCTTCAGTGGTCAGGACCCCCATGGACCCTCACAGAGCAGGTACTATTTGGGTGGTGGATCATTCTCAACACTGCAGTAACACTGACGTGGTGGTGGTGTGTTAGTGTGTGTTGTGCTGGTCTGAGTGGATCAGACAAAGCAGTGCTGCTGGACTGAGAATAGTCCATCAACCAAAAATATCCAGCCAACAGCGTCCTGTGACCACTAATGAAGGACTGGAGGATGACCAACACAAACAGTGCAGCAGCAGATGAGCTATCGTCTCTGACTTTACATCTACAAGGTGGACTGACAAGGTAGGAGTGTCTAATAGAGTGGACAGTGAGTGGACACAGTGTTTAAAAACTCGTACCACTCGTACCAGCGTAACACACACTAACACACCACCACCACGTCAGTGTTACTGCAGTGCTGAGAATGATCCACCACCCAAATAGTACCTGCCCTGTGAGGGTCCATGGGGGTCCTGACCACTGAAGAACAGGGTAACAGGGGGCTAACAAAGTATGCAGAGAAACAGATGGACTACAGTCTGTAACTGTAGAACTACAAAGTGCACCTATATAGTAAGTGGAGCTGATAAAATGGACAATGAGCGTAGAAACAAGGAGGTGGTCATCATGTTATGCCTGATCAGTGTATTTTACACTGTGCCAACAACTTTGAATCTTTGAGGCTTTTGAAATAATACAATTCGTCTGAAAATGAAAGTCATGCAAAAATTGTTCTGATATAATTTAAAACACTTACATTCTGTCAACTTTTAAAATCGTACATAAAAGGCCGAACACGCCAACCAAGACGGCTGCCGTATCAGGCCTGCCTCGGTCTCGCCGGCCAGAGCGGTGCGGAACGGTGAGCGATAATTCTCGTAGTGTGTGACCTCTTAAGCAGCTCTGGGCATCACTCAGCTGCTTACTGCCCTTGTACAGCAGACGCTAAGTCTCTCTGGTAGCTTTCATTTCAACAAATAAGTTGAGGCTTAGCCTGGCTAACAGACAGGATAGTCACAGCGAATCCAGAGATTTCGCTTCTGCGGCTTTCGCTTCTCCGCACCATCCAGCGCTGACTGTTCCTCTGCTTGCTCTCTTTGTGGAGGACTAAGCTGGTGTAATTATAGCAGCCGTCAAGGGACAGCACGAGCAAGTACGGCTAACAATTTAAGACAAAAAAGATTCTGATTTACATTGACAGTGCTTTGAAAAATGAGTTTAGATCGTTGAATGAATGCTTTTCTGATCTAAATCTAAACCTAGGGGCTGTAAAGTTAGTTGTTCTATGGTTTTAAAGGCTAAGATGGAGCGAGGGGGAATTAAAAAGGCTCTTCCAGAGAAATTGAATTACTCATCCTTCTCGTTGTTCAATATGCAAAATTCTTCGTTCAATGTGTCCGATTTTTAATCCAGACCACAACAGTGTTTATAAGCAGTTGTTTTATTATAATTTGAATTTGAAGAAAAGTTGTGTTGTGTTTTGCACAAAGAAAAAAAAACATCTTTTACCATTTCTGCCATGTTTTTGTCATTTTTAGGACATAAAAAACTCAGAACAGTCAACAGAGAATGTCCACTGTAAATGTAATTCATCGTGTAACTAATGTAGGGCTGCCAAAAGATTACAATTATTAATTACGATTAATCATTTTCTTTTGAAAAGTTAATGTTTGTTTCTAAAGAAAAATTATTTCCATTTCAAAAACTGCATTCTAGCACTTCTAAATTTTTTTTTATTTATTTATTTTTAACTTTTTATTTTTAATTAGATTTTTTTTAACCATCCTAATTTAATTTCTAATCTAATTTTTAATTTAGTGATTTTCTCTTTCAAATCTATTGTTTTATATATGTTTTAATCACATTTTTAATTTCTTTTCTCACTTTGAATGACAGCAGTGTATGAAAGGTGCTGTGTAAATAAACTTGCCCTGCCCTGACAAACCAGGAATAAGAATGGAATAAGGAATGAAATTGTATCCTTATAATTCAACAATCTAATGACATTATATTTATCGAGTGAACACAGAACCTGAACATTAAAATCAGGTGATTTTCACAAAGTGAGCACAGTTTTTCCATCAGAGCAACAGTGGCTGTTCCAACTAATGAGCTTTCAACTTCGCTGTTGCTTTTGTTAGTCTGCTGCTCATTGATTTAAGAGCTGTCCAATTACTGATATTACTGCATTTGATTTGATTTGTTTTTAATGACACCTCAGACTCTACGAACTTCAATAATGAAATAAATTTACAATTGCAGTTGCTGGAAAAACTTAGTTTTTTTAATATATATATATATAGAGTCATCAATGAAGGTTGCCATTTCAAAACTGTGCTTAAACAAGAAGACTACAGCCACATCAATCACAGCAGCATCCAGTGCACTGCAGCTGGACCTCAGCCTGCACTACTACATGTATTTTGAAGGGTCAAACTAAGAAAATGTGTTAACTGCATTACAGAATGTGTGGAATTTATCTTTTATTATATTTAATACATTATTAACAGGTCAACTCTGACACCTTGTAATTTCTTAATTACATTTTAAGTACAGCAAAAGAACAATAACTCTGGGCTTCTAAGAGTTAAAATACACTATACGGACAAAAGTATTGGGACACACCTCCTAATGATTGAGTTCAGGTGTTTCAGCCACACTCATTGCTAACAGGTGGATAAAATCAAGCACGTAGCCTTGCAGTCCCGACAGACAAACACTGGCAGTAGAATGGGTCGTACTGATGAGCTCAGTGGCATCGTGATAGGATGCCACAGGTCAGTCTGTGAAATGTCTGTCCTGCTAGATCTGCCCTGGACAACTGTAAGTGTTATTACTGTGAAATGGAAGCGTCTAGGAACAACAACAGCTCAGCCAGGAAGCGGCAGACCACGGAAACTCACAGAGTGGGCCGCCGAGTGCTGAAGCACACAGTGTCTATCCTCTGTTGAACCCCTTAATCTTAATGCTTCAGCACCAAGACATTCTGGACAACTGTACACTTCAAACTCTGTGAACAGTTTGGGGAAGAATGTTTCCTGTTCCAGCATGACTGAGCCCCAGTGCACAAAGCAAGGTCCATAAAGGCCTGACTCTCGTCCACCATCAGTGTCTGACCTCACAAATGCTCTTCTGGATGAAAGGGCACAAATTCCCAGAAGAGTGGAAGCTGTTAGAGCTGCAAAGGGGACCAACTCCATATTAATGCCTATGGATTTAGAAAGAGATGTCAGAAAATGCTCCTGTAGGTGTCCCAATACTTTTGTCCATACAGTGTACATCATTGGCTAGCCATCGGTACTTAGTATTCCGTGTAGTGCTGCTCTGTGCTGGGACAGAAGACCCTTCAATAAACTAAACCTGATGTTTGTCACCATGATGGGTCCACTATGGCCACTCACCTGGTCACTGGTGGATTAAGAGCACCCCACTGTACTATAAAACGCTGAAGGCTTTTCTCATTAATAATTATGGTGTCCCGGCCAAATTTCTCACAATGTCACCCTCATAATCCACTAATTATCCCCCATCTACAGATTGGCTAATGGCTGGTGGGAGTCTGGCTGATTGCTTCATCTGAGTGGTGATTGAGCAGAGCTGTTAAAACGTGGTGTTTTGAGTGTGTAGGAAAGCACTGTACAAACGCGAGTATTCATTTATTTTTTCCAGCTCCCTCCATTATATACCACTTTAGGCAAATTGCTCATTTTCCAGCGAGTACTCATGCAGAAACACAATCTCAAACAGCAGCAGGAACCTTGGGTGCAATCTGAAAAACACTTAGCGAGCTAATAAGTTGAAACTTTCCCACTAGCTTTTGGAACCTATGAAACCATAAGCTTGTCTGCACTCACAGTCTTTTACCTTGTAGGTGATAAACATCTCTAGCATGACAGTATTTGTATTATGTTCTGTCCTCCAAGCGCCCTGAACACTCAGTCTTTAACCCAGGTCAGCATACAAGACAAGATAAATAATAAACGTGTAAAAATGCATGAATTTACAGGGGCGTCAGTCTGAATGTGGCTGGTTATATTCTGGAATGTTATAAATGCTTATAGCACTATTTATAACATAACTTGTTTTTTGGCTTTAATTTAATTGGAATGCTATAACTGACTGTTAAACCATTTAACAAAACATGCACTCGTTTTTTGTTTAAATCTAAACTGGGTCATTCTTGAAATGCTATAGTTGAATATAATACTAATTAATCAATTAACCAACCTTAACTTAAACTCAGAGTACATCGAGGGAGACCCTCATTTACAATGTAGCCGAGCCAATACAGAGATCAGGGACTGAGAAGTTACAGAGTAAAAGCATAACAAATGCTAAAAAGTAATAATAATCACTGTAGTAAATTAAAATATATATATATATTTTAAAATTTAAATTACAGAAATATAGTAACTTAACAAATGAGACAAATTAAGGATAAATAAAAATATATTTAATGAAATAAAGAAATAAAAGATGTAAAACAATAGCTTGACAGTATCAAAGTAAATATAATATATGAACAGAATAAAAAAATGAAATAATAACAAAAAATATACCAAAAATCACTTATGTGAAGAAATCAAGTAAAGCAGTTGCAGTATTTAATTATATAATTGTATACTTGTATAATGTATTTTTTTTATTAAATTCAATTGGGTCATTCTTGAAATGCTACAATTGAATATAATACTATTTAATCAAATATGCGCTTATTTTTTGTCCATATTAAAATTCTTATTTTTAAACATAAAAAGGCTTGGTGTGCTGTTTCATTGTCTTTTGAATTTAATGTTAAAAAATAATTCTAATTGTACAAAAATCATCATATCTATCTAAACCATGGCGGAATGTGAGATTTCAGGATGGACTGAATACTTTCCTGTAATCAAATCCAATCATTCTGAGGTCAGAGATTTATTTACACCCCTAATAAGAACCAAACCTTTCCCAATCTTACCTCCGGTGAGGAGTACAGCAGCCCGGTCATTTCATGTTTCACTATTGCAGCATTCCCGGGAATATCCCTGGCCAAAACCGGCACGCCCAAATCCATGGCCTGAAGAGCAGAACAGATGTTATTGCCCAAATAAAATCGTGCAATCAAATAACTCCAATTCGAAGTGCTAATTGCATGGCTGGGTTAATGAAGAGGCCCAGGCTTAACGACAAAGACAACAAGCATGGATTTAATTAGCGCTTTAATCCCTCTGTGGATTATGCTAATCTGAAGTTTGATACAGATAAACTAGATTACTGCTCCACACAATGATGTGAGTGGGACGAGAGAAATAATATCAGCTCTGATAGAAGTTCTAAGCCAGCTGAAAATGTAGATTTAATGCTGTTTATCAGGGCGGTTAGTGTTTATGTGCTTGGAACAATACTGATATAATGCACATAAACATGAATACACTGATTCTGTGTTGGTGCATCAGCGTAATGCATATTTAAACTTCTGCTGGAAGCAGTTCAGTGTTTGTAGTTACCACCCAATACATAATTAAGCTTATCAAGCCTTCATTAAATTACTCTTCAGCAAATTAAATCAGGTGTGCTGCAGGGGGAGCTGAGCAAAATCCATGCAATAGCTGAAGCTGCTTTGAGAACAACAGGAAACAAACCTGTATTCTACACCTATGTTATATTACATCATATTATATTTACATAATATTATAAATATATACACATACATGCGTCTGACAGATGCTCTTATCCAGTGCAACTCACAATTTAATCATGTAAATGTAGTAATGGAAGATGTAATGGCAAATGTAGCCTTGCCTAATGGCTCTACCAGTGTAGAGGGTTTTCCCAACTGCTACTAACTGGCTCACACTATAAGAATGACCTACTGTATTTACTATTGTTACTGTATTTATGTTTCTTTACATTAATTCTAATTTGAAGCTGCACTATGTAAGATTTGGGGATTTGGAGACCTCTCTGACGGACACATGTAATTGCACACAACACCCTGTAACATGGATTGTGCTTTGGACCCCCTTCCCTGTGCAGATGAACCTGATGACAGCGAGATTATTCAAACTTGGTGAAGGAGTGTCTCTGAGGATGTGAGTGAATTGTCGACTACTGTCATCATATCTTCATCAGTAAAATGTTGATGTTGAGATCATCTGAGACATGAACATTAAGCTGGATCTTCTTTTTGAGCCTGTGCATGTGACGTCAACACGTAAAGACGTATGACATGGTGTGAAAAAGTCCCAACTTGAGGCCGACTGGCCGACTCGCAGCAGCTCACACTCACCATATTTCAGCCCGTTTTCATTCTCCAGACTCAGTAATGCTACTTCTTCAGTTTTAATAAAAAAAAATGTAAAAAGTGCAGCTTTAAAAAAATGTTTTATGAGCCAAAAAATAGAAAACAAAAAAATACCCAGCAAAGCAGTTAGGCTTGCCTAAGACTTTTGTACAGTACTGTACTAATATACTTTGGCCATTTTATTAGGTCTACCTACCTTATTGTCCCTTATATTAGGTCCATTTACCATATCAGTTTCTCTGCATCATTTGATAGTCTTTTATCAGTGGTCAGGACCCCCACAGGACCCCCACAGAGCAGGTATTATTTGGATGGTGGGTCACTCTCAGCACTGCAGTGACACTGACGTGGTGGTGGTGTGTTAGTGTGTGTTGCACTGGTCTGAGTGGATCTGAGTTTTTAAACACCTCAGTTTTTCTGCTGGACTAAGAACCAAAAATATCCAGCCAACAGCGTCCTGTGGGCAGCGTCCTGTGACCACTGATGAAGGACTGGAGGATGACCAACACAAACTGTGCAGCAGCAGATGAGCTATCGTCTCTGACTTTACATCTACAAGGTGGACTGACAAGGTAGGAGTGTCTAATAGAGCGGACAGTGAGTGGACACAGTGTTTAAAAACTCCAGCAGCACTGCTGTGTCTGATCCACTCGCACCAGCACAACACACACTAACACACCACCACCACGTCAGTGTTACTGCAGTGCTGAGAATGACCCACCACCCACTCTGTATTTAAGAAGACAGAAATGATATGCGGACATAAGCTAGAGCTGAACTGAAGATGCATGAGGAATTTATACCTCTAAGATTGCAGCGGACATGCCTTCAGAAACAGAGGAATTGACCAGGGCGAAAGATTTCTGCATAACAGTGTGCAGCTCCTCCTGAGTCCTTTCTGCAGCCAGAACACACCAGCAGATCTACATACAGAGAGAGAGAGAGAGAGAGAGAGAGAGAGAGAGAGAGAGAGAGAGTTTAGCACATATATGAGAGGTTATCATATTAAAACCTCAGCAGATTTATTCAGAGAAAAACAATATCGCACATAAATACTTGCAAAGTAACAATTTACTTGAACCCTGCTACATTACATTGACATAACCTTGCTATAAACATGTCATTGTAGATGTCATATGCTGTCATGACAGATAATATTCACTTACATTACGGCATACAGCTGTATGCAAATGATCAAATGACATGTGGCTGATTTTCTAAGTGAACACGTCCTCTTCTGCACATTTTAATACATTCTTAAAAAGATGGTGTTTCAATGGTTCTTTAACAAAAAAAGGTTCTATATAGAACCATGAACACTCAAAGAACTCTTTGCATGACTAAAGGGTTCGTTGCATCATCACGAAAGGGTTCTCCAGGTTGACATATATAGCAGCCAAAAGGGTTCTTATACTGTTTCAAGCTTAACACCATCTACAGCACATTCTCCATCAATCTGAAGAACCACTTCACACCTCAATCATCCAAATGGTTCTTTGAGAGGTCATGGTTCTATTTAGAACCACTTTCTCTACAAAAAAAACTTTGAAGAACCATCTTTTTTAAGAGTGTACACTATTACTGTTTATTACTACTATTACTGTACACTGATCAGGCATAACATTATGGCCACCTTAAAAACTCCAGCAGCACTGCTGTGTCTGATCCACTCAGTACCAGCACAACACACACCAACACACGACCACCACGTCAGTGTTACTGCAGTGCTGAGAATGATCCATCACCCAAATAGTACCTGCTCTGTGAGGGTCCATGGGGGTCCTGACCACTGAAGAACAGGGTAAAAGGGGGCTAACAAAGTATCAGAGAAACAGATGGACTACAGTCTGTAACTGTAGAACTACAAAGTGCACCTATATAGTAAGTGGAGCTGATAAAATGGACAATGAGCGTAGAAACAAGGAGGTGGTCAGAATGTTATGCCTGATCAGTATATATCCACCAATTCAGCCTTCAGCAGATTAGCTCCGCCCACTTACACTGAGGTTATAAGGAGTGTTTCAGTCTGAAGTGCTTTTTGAACCAGACACAATACAGGGCAGCCAATCAGAGCAGACTCATGTACTTATTTATACATTAGTCTTAAAGGCACAGTAACAAAAACAGCCTGTTTAATAGGCAGAAATAGGCTGTTAAATTCTAAAGAGTAAAGAGAGGTTGGAAAATGGGCATGTTAGCAAAGAATTATGGCACTTTTTAATACATAAAAACATGACTGTCAGAATAAAAAAGCTAAATTACTGGAAACTGAAAGATAATGAAAGCTGTGTGAGAATTTCATGACGAATTGACCAACAGAAATGGTCCAAATCACTTCGAATAAAATCTTGTAAAATTAACGTAACCTACACTACAGTTAAGAACGTCTTCTCCTTCTCCTATAAAGCTCCTATTTCAGAGCCACAAAGTTCCCTCATGACAGCGATATCCAGAGTATAAAGCGAATGCACAGAAGTGTATAGAGCTGTTCCCACTGCAGCAGCCTCTCTTTCCGACAAAGCTCAGAACTGTTTCATCAGAGCTCGCTCGCTCCGCAGCAGCCAGCCTGCAGCTACAGCAGCGCAGATTCACCGTGAGAGAGTTTCTTATCTTTCTCCACCTTTGCCTCCTTCGTTTCCCCACCATCTTCAGTTCTCTCTCGGTTTAGATGTGACTCAGATAACACAGCACTCCTCGTACATTATCGCCAGTTTGTTTACATTTTCCCTCTCAGTAAAGTAAACTGTACGGATAGATAAGTTTACACACATGCGATCCAATTACACTTTTTTTTCTGCATGTGTGTCCAAAGAAAGCCTCAGAGATCCCAACCCAGGGCAGATGCCTGCATGCCGCGGCCCGGATAAGGAGCCGAGCCTCAGAAGATGGCCTAAGAGGAGAATGAAGGAGAGATGAAGGATGGAAGCTTTACCTTTTGACACTTTCTTCTACTTCTACACTAAACGCAGGGTCAACCTAGAGAGAGAGAGAGAGAGAGAGAGAGAGAGAGAGAGAGAGAGAGAGAGAGAGGAGCCAAAATGAGAAAAAAAAAAAATGGTGAGCGAAACAACCAACTACAAAAACAGCACAACAGCCTGTATGCAATTATGTGCACTTCTATTTTGACAAGCCAGATAGTTTATGCTATGTTTTATTAATTCTTACCCTGCTGAAAAAGAGCAGGTCTACACTAAGGGCTGTCAGCGTTAGCGCGTTACGCACACAATTAATCTGGAAAAATAAACGTGTTCATTTTTTTTTTTTACAAAAATGAATCATATTACCAAGTTTGACCCCAACTTCCTCCCGTAATTCCCGCACGGATTTGCTGAAAGGCGCAAACATAAATACCACGGTGATTAGGGCTGGGTACCGACATCCGATACCAATAAGGCACCGACCCGAAGCATCTCGGTACTACCGAGTACTGAAAAGTCTCAAAAAAACTGGTGCCTATTTTTCGATACTTTGCACAAAAACGCAAATCACGCAGGATTACTGGAGTTTAACCTTACTACTAATGCAGAAAAGAAAAAAAAACGTGACTGGCTCCCTGACGCACAGAAACGCACACAGCTAGAAACATATGTCAAAGAGGTCGACAGTCTGGCTCTATTTCAAAAGTTACTGAGAACAGTTCAGGGGTGCAACACATGCCTAAAGACAGTGGCTTCCAAAACGGGTAATAAATCACTACCAGCATTAAAACTACGAACCTGAAGTCAGCTTCTTGTTTGAATTTTCCCATTACACCTTAAATGGTGCAGCGGTTATTATAACTCCTCAGGCACCAGAACACAACTACTGTACCATTTAAGGTGGAACAGAAAAATCTGAACATGAAGCTGGTGAATGAGAGGACAACTTCAGCCTGGCATTTAAACTACAGGTAGGACAGTTTGACAGTCTAAATGTCCTTATCAAAAAACGTTACTAGCATTACCAGCCACTGACCTGTACAGAGAGTTCCAAGCAGTTGGTGATTACATCCACTATCAGTATCATGGAAACATGAAGTGTCTCATATCATTAGAAGAAGTACAGAAGTGTACACAGTAGCAACTGCTGCATCATTTAAAGTGAAACTGAAAATTAAAATAAGAAGCTAATTTTGGCTTCATATATATGTTTATATTTTATAATTTATCATTTTGGCTTCATAATATTTTTATTAGTTTTTATAAAATATCACACACTGGAATGTTCTGAACTCTGGAGATGTGCAGGTTATATGGGCCCAATTCATCAATCAAGCAAATCTTCTCCTTGCACTGTTTTCTGGAGACTGCATCTAAAGTGTCCACACAATAATTTCATCCTTTTTTGTGGTCAGTCTGGCTACCTTGTTTGGTCTTCATTCACCGGCAGGAACGGTGACGAGACCAGCTCCATCAGAGCACAGTCAGAGTTACAGCTCTCCTACCAAAATGGCAGCCAGACGTCCTAAATGAAGTAACCAAATACTATGAATTCCCTTTGAACCCCAGTCTTCCTACAGTTTAGCAAATATAAAATAAAATTAAAATATGTACCAAAAGTCCTTGAACTCAGAATCCTGGTCGCTGTTTCATCACCGGGTTAACTTCATGACATTATTATGTCACAAGGGCAAACTATCTTTGGTTGCCGTCTAAATTAAGGCAGGGAGGATGGGGGAGGAAAGGTGGGGACAGGCTGTGATGAATAATATAAGACATGTCTTTCCATTATTATGTAAGCTTTGCTGCGGCTCATCTTCGCTTATAAACAATAAGCGGTGCAAGTTTGTTCGTTCATCCCCATTTATCCCCGTCCTTACAGAGGCATCTACTTTGCGAAATCATTTCAGTAATACCCGAACCGCAGCCGCTGGACAAGACAATGCTACACACTGATCATCATTTCTAACATGCTCCGCGCTAGCCTTGGGGAAAAATGCATTTGAAAATCCTGTAGATTTTCAGAGATTAGGGTCAGGGAGGGGTTGTTGCTCAATCTGATTAATTGTGATGAGGGCTTTGCATGTATTAGCTGGCCCAGCACTTGCAGCAGCAGCCGCAGCAGCAGCCGCAGCAGCAGCAGCGGTGGCAGCACATGCAATTTAGGTCAGAGATGTGGCGAGCAGGCTAGCGCAGTGGCATAGAGTAGTTATTTTGGTCATTAGAGCCGCGATCCAACCTTCCGTTTCTATTTCACTGTTTTCCACCAATACCAGGCTCAGCCGAATCTCTGAGCCTCTCTCAGACCTCAGAGGCTCCACTTGGACTCGCACATCAGACACACAGATTCACACTTGAATCGGACTCATGCCTGAGACTTGGAGTTACACAGTCACGTGTCTCAGGCGTGAGTCCGAGTCAAGTTTCGATTCACTAAAGTGTGAATCTGTCCAAGTGGAGCCTCTGAGGTCTGAGCTGAATGTCTAAGGTGCGAGTCCAAGTCGAGTCTTTGGGATGCAAGTCCGAGTCAAGCCTTGAGTCGCTGTGGTGTGAGTCCAAGTCGAGTGTCTGAGGGATGATTTCGAGTTGAGTCTCTGAGGTGCGAGTCCGAGTTAGGTATCTCAGGTGTGAGTCTGAGTCAAGTTTTGAGTCTCTTAGGTGCGAATCCGAGTCAAGTCTCCAGTTTCTGAAGTGTGAGTCCAAATTGAGTCTTCGAGGTGTGATTCCTAGTTGAATCTCGAGTCCCTGAGGTGCGAATCTGAATCAAATCCAAATATCTGAGGTCTGATACCAAGTCAAGTCTTGAGTCTCTGAGGTGCGAAACTGATGCGAGTCCGAGTCGAGTATCTGTGTTGCAAGTCCAAGTCTTGAGTCAGTTAGGAGCGAGTGCAAGTCGAGCTGGGAATCATTCAACAACTTAAGGGCATCTTGAGTCTGAAGCGCTGACATGAGTTCTGATCTCTGCTAATGCATTCAGCTAATAAACTTACAAAATTCAGGCTACAAGCTGCTGCTACTGTTTTCATCTATATGACGTACTTTAGCCCATGTTCATAGAAAATAGTGCCGGAAACCGCAAAATCAAGTCTATCAGTGATTTCTGAACAACTTGGCAGGTGGTATGTGATCGTTTAGGCATTCAGTTGCAGTAATTGGTGGGGTATAAGTTTTATCATGATAATTTCCATATCGTTCAATATCGACACATATCCCGATAAATGTCAAATTATTATTTCTTGCAAGTTCGAAGGCTGATTTTTGCTCCTGAGTGGTCAGCTGCTGTTTTAAACTATCATTTATGGTCAGAACATGACAAAACACTCACCAACCAGTGGAACATTTCACAAATCTGTCATAGGACAGTGGGAGAAAGTTTGTGGTCAGCTGTTTTTACCAGCTGGAAAAGCACAGCCACAGCTTTTGTAACAGTCATAGTTTAAGAAAGAAAACAGATTATTTTTAGCTGTCTGGTGACGAGCGCTCGGCTATCTGGTTACAAGTGCTAAACTGTTTAGTTTCTCAACAACGTCAACTTAGTACGAACAGCAAACATGAGCTGGCTCGGTAGGTCAGTGATGGATTACACTGCCTTACTGCCATCACTCCACCACATCAGAGCATATCACAGTATTCAGACACCAGCTAGCGACGACTGGGGTTCTCTATTCTATCGTCGTAGTTTGAGGAGTGAACCGCAACGTATCTGACGCTCGCTGTGTAAAAGCATTAACCGCAGTGTGAATCTCAGAGTCCTCCTTTTAGGCATGTTTAAACTGAAAACAGCGCTTTTTCTGTATTGTTCGATCTACAATATCATCAGTTCACTGTGTTGCGCGAGTGACGGAGCGCTGCTTCAAGTTAGCCAGCTGCTAAAAACAGCTAGCCTGGAAAGATGGCGTTCTCCCGCTCTCAATGCCTCACAGCTTCCTCAGTTTACTTTCGTTTAAATCAGGGCTGTAACTCACATGAACCCACTTCTTTCTTTCACTTTTGTTGCTTGGCAATGCATGAATACTTAAAATATGACTGAGCGCTGTAACAGTGCTGTAGTTGTGAGGAGCAGACGTGATTTAACGCTGCTTAAGCTTGTTAGGATGTATGGAAAGAGGTGAGTTCACTGTAGGACAGTACAGGTACACCACTGATCTCGTCACTCGGTCACAGGAGAACAGATCGCCGGTCGCTCAACTCAGATAGGGAATATAAAACTCCACGTTTCAGACGTTACTAAAGTATATTTGCCGACTTGTTTTACCCAATCATGTTGAAAAACTCGGAGGTGCGCCCTCTCCTGGCGACAGCAGAGTAGTGTCGCTTTCCTTGCAGTAGAAAACGCCATGGCCGTCACTGGAACATGGAAGTGTGAGAAAGGTGTATTATATCGAACATTTATCGAACATTTCTTGTAGCTCTATCGAGGAAAGTTATATCGCGATAATTATTGTTATCGTTTTATCGCCCAGCCCTAGGTATAAGTTTTAATTACTTGTTGGCAACATTAGCCTATTAGCTCCAATGCAAACTGAAGACTCTAAACATGTCTTGGCTGTGGACTACATTCGCAGGTAGAGGAAAAATATGTAAATTATGTAAATACAAAGCTGCATGTTTTAATATAAGAGTATAAACACTAAAAAAAAGCACGTTATCTATATTATACATTTTGTAGGTCAACTCTTATAGGCTGCTATAAACACACGAGAATCTTCATCTTCACAGCTTCACACAGGGCTTAACATGAAAGGAATTAATGAGGAATTTCCAGGAACATGAAAAAAACTGCAATTTCTTACAACTCAAACGCTGAAAACCTTCACACTAAGACACGAAATTAATCCTATGAGTCACACGGCAGTGTTTTCAACGACCGAACGACTCGCTGTCAACTACTGATTCTAAATGAATGCTTTTGACAGTTATTATTATTATTATTATTTCACCTTTTTATTCATATTATGCAACAGGATGCAATGCTAACACACTGGAGCTGAACAGACTTGCTATTTCTTGGCCTTTTGAACTGAGAATCGTGGGTGGATGTCGCTTTTAAATTGAATACCAAATAAAACAGGAATAGAACCAAAACAACTGGGATGCATTTAATATCATCTTCATGAATGCGCCCGAAAAACAAAATCTGCTCATCAAACGACAACAGAGAACACACTACAGCTTACAATCACATGCGGTGTCAGGGGTGTGCCGCAGGCCAACTTCACTCAGACATGAGCCGCTTTGAACATCAATAAACTCGCAAAGAGACGAGCGAGATAGAAGGATAATCATCAGATCCTGAAAAACAATAGCTGAGGCAGAAGGAAGCATCTAATGACGCCATCAACTCAATAAAGCTGGAGAAATGAAAGAACGTCAGAAATAAAATGGGATCGGCTTTGTGATGGAGAGAATCGGCCACTTACGGCTAAATTTGTGACTCTGTGGCCGCAGATCAATATATAAGATCAATATATAAACACTGGACGGAGAGGAAACTCAGCATTTAGAAGACCTGCATTCATAAACTAAGGCTGTTAATTCTGTGAAAATCACACGCATCACATATAATAATTTAAAGGCACCGGCAGGAAACGTGTATTGGGCAGCTCTCCAAGGGGCTTCCAGTGCCTTAATACTGACTTTAAGACGCTCTTGTCCACTTGACCCCACCATTTCCCCTCGAAGGAGCTGTCTTAGGGGCTGTTCCATCACATTATGGGCTCAAGAGATGTTTATTTGCTAAATCTATTAGCTCAAGTGGAGTTTAATAAGGGTGAGTGAGTCGTGAGACAAGTCTAGTCTCAAGTCTCTGAGGTGTGAGTCAGTATTGAGTCGCTGAAAGTTTCGATTCTCAAGTCTTTAAGCTGTGAATCCAAATCGTCAAGTCTCTGAGGTGCTATTCTGAGGCAAGTCTCGAGTGCCTTGAGAGTTTGAGCGGAGTCTTGATGTCTTTGAGGTGCGAGTCTTGAGTCGAGTCTTGTGTCTCTGAGGTGCAAATCAGAGTCGAGTCTCTCATCTTTGAGGTGCGAGTCCGAGTCAAGCCTTAACTCTCTGAGGTGTGAGTCAGTACTGAGTCGCTGAAGTGCGAATCTCAATTCTCAAGTCTTTAAGATGTGAATCCAAGTCGTTGAGTCTCTGAGGTGCTATTCTGAGGCGAGTCTCGAGTCAATGAGGTGCGAGTGTGAGCGGAGTCTTGTTGTCTCTAAGGTGCCAGTCTGAGTTGAGTCTTGAGTCAAGTCTCGAGTCGAGTCTTGTGTCTCTGAGGTGCAAATCAGAGTCGAGTCTCTCATCTTTGAGGTGCGAGTCCGAGTCAAGCCTTAACTCTCTGAGGTGTGAGTCAGTACTGAGTCGCTGAAGTGCAAATCTCAATTCTCAAGTCTTTAAGATGTGAATCCAAGTCGTTGAGTCTCTGAGGTGCTATTCTGAGGCGAGTCTCGAGTCAATGAGGTGCAAGAGTGAGTGGAGTCTTGTTGTCTGAGTCTTGAGTTGAGTCTCAAGTCCCTGAGTTGCGAGACATGTCTAGTCTCAAGTCTCTAAGGTGCAAGTCAGAGTCGAGTCTGACCTCATGTTTTTATTATTAGTGATTCAGCTGTTGAAAATGAAAAATAAATAAATGAATAAATAAATAAAGCTACCATAAAAGGAATGTGTTTTGGGTCGAGGCTGCGGAGAGGCTGCTGCTTTTTTTAAACGGCTCTGAACGTTTGAACTGTGGCGAAAGGTCGGTCCAGGACAAGCAGCAGCAACATCTGGGGGGTATTTTCATTTCAGAAAGTCTGCCGCTGATGCCGAGTCGACCGCAGAGTCGAACCACAACTGTCACGGTGGGTTCAGACCCATTCGGCACCTCATTTCCTGCAGCAACACACCGCGGGTAAATGAAACATGTGCGCCGCCGTGTTTGAATGAGGCTTCAATCTCTTTTCCCCAGACAGACTCCAGGTCAACAGCACCATCTTCCCTCTTTCCTCTGTCTATCCTTTTTTCCTTTTCTTTTTTTGGCTTTTTATGTTTATCCAAATATCCGGCGCAGCCTGTGGCCAGTCTGATCCTCCCCTGGCCCACATGGAGTATTTGACCTCACCAAAGGCTTGGCAGCCGAACACTTCCCAAGCCCAGGACATAATCTGGAGCAGCAGATGTCCTGCCACAGGCTAACCGCTAGCTGCAAACAGCTAGATCCCCTAGCGCAACAAAGCAGCACAGGGATATTAGCATGTTATGCTGCTTTCATGTGCTGTCTGTATCACCGTACACACAAATTCTCAACCTAAAATTTGCCCTTTAGAAACTTTGGAAACTCTTCTGTTATTACCTTTACCTTTTTTTTACTGGGGAGGAAGGGAGAGTTTCAGTGGTCAGGGGTAATTCTTTATTTCCCCAAATAAAACCTACTTTTAGTAGTCAACAATAAGGCTGGAGACGGTTACAGACATGACAACTTTCCCAGGCTGAGGGGGACCTTCACCTAAGGACACCCTCTGCACTATGACCCTGTGTTCACCCTGGCAGCATCTTTTCACTTCTTGTCACCCAAATCGCTGGTCGCTCATCGCCTGTGGGCGTTTCTGAACTCGAGTGGACCGTTGGTTGCCATGGTTTCACTAACGTCAAGCACACTGACGTGACACTGCACACTGCATTCCCACTAAAAATAATAGAAATCGCTTGTGTGCTTTTTTAAAATTTTATTTAATCTCTGTGTCTGTGCAGTTAGTACGAGGAAAACAGTATTTGGTCTTTGGGATTACTGTCTGTTTGCAGCACCGGTGCCATTATTCCATCTCTAGTAGGAACAAATATCTAGGAACCAAAAAGGGACCTCCACCGTTTCACAGTGGCGGAGATAAAGTGCGTATTGCGCCGCTCGATGCTCAATTCCTATTGGTAATTGCCACATTGCTTCGCTCCTTGTTTGCATAAAGTGAAACTTCGCTTCGCCAACGTTCACGTCGCCTCCTGTCACCAGAAACCGCCAGCTCTCATTGAAAATGAATGACCTCCTGCTGCTTTGTCGAGTTGCGTCACTGCCGGTGTGAACGTAGGATGAGGCTTTCAGGAGCGGTCACTCGGGCTACCCTACGTCGCATTTACAAACCTGCCTGAGCTAGCCAGTTTGAGCGACGTTTAACCACAGCTACGACACTTCCCAGCCTGAGAGGGACGTTCCACATGTCTAAAGACTCTTTTCCAGGCTACAAGGCTTCCCAGATTGGCCACTTAAGCGGTGGTACATTGTAGCTATGAGGCCTCCTAGACTGAGAGGGACCTTCCCCATGGTTAAGGACTCTTTTCAGGCTATGAGGCTTCCTGGACTGGCCGCTTGAGCAACACTACACCACAGTCACAAGTTCGTCTTTGCTGAGAAGGACCTTCTCTCCTGGCTAAGGACTCTTTTTGGGCTATGAAACATCCCAGACCAGCCAACTATGCAATGTTACACCTCTTAGCCTGAATAAGTCTACATTATATCTAGTATCTACATAACCTCATATATATATCAATCAAACTAGCTAGTAAAATTAGTAGTGCAAAAGCCAACCAGCTCGGTCAGCAAATTCCCCATGTTTACGATTACAAAGCACTTCACAAGTAGAAAGCAGGATCATCTGACAATAATGTGAAAGCAGCATTACAGGCAGCCCACCAGGCGATCAGTCCCCGCCACGCCTCCCCTCAACGATCCTACGTTTCTAGCTGCAGAGAGCCTCTCAATGCCTCCCCTAAGCACGGCTTAGAGGCGGCTAATGCTGTTATCTGTATTACATCCAATTAGCTCTACCTTTGGAGCTTGTAGATGCACGTTGACTAGCGTGCTAATGCTAAAACATCTGCTTAAAGAGGCTGTTGGTGCAGTGAAAGCAGAGCTACGGCACGAGAGGATACGCACGCGCACAGGACACGACCGGACATCGCATGACCAGCAGCCACAGCAAAAGGAGAAGGCGGTGAGGGATAATGATAACACTGTGGTGATAAACACATGGGGACAGCTGGTGCTCACCTTTGGGCCGATGATGATGAGGATCACCTGCGGGTTCTCAGCATGCCACTCTGTTTGAAAGAAAATCTGCGTAAATAAGCCACGTAAATAAGACAGAAAATACTGTGCATATTTTTTTGGCCGTCTCTGATCTTCAGCCACCAGATCAGAGAAGTCATTGGGCCGCAGACCTCAGTCCAAACTGTACTGCACATGTTAGCGTTTCCCTACAAGCATAATAATCAATTTATGAGCTCAATTGTGTTTTATAGCTAAACAATAAAATGCAAGACAACGTGAGGACAACTAAAAAATGTCCTAAATGTCCTGAAAATGTCCGATACGCATGAACAATGGAGCAAATGGAGCACCTGCATCCTCATCTGAGTTTAAATTATGTAAAATTATCATTTTCATGTCATTTTATTTACCCCACTATAACAAATGGTTATTCCAGAATAAGAGCAATGAAGATGCCTCTTTGTTGCACAATTTGGGATGAAAATATAAGAAAAAAATATATAAACGTGGCTTTAGCAGTGATAAATGTGCCATATGTTCTTTTTTTGGATTTCACATCATTTTTATTCATGTCCAATTCCACTCCAATAAAAGGGCCACTTGGTTACACAGCTGCACCAAATTAGGAGCCCACAGTCATAACTAGAAGCGATTATTTTTGTCAATAAACAGTAATTCATCATCTTTCATTCAACAGCAACGTGAAGACAGCTATCTGTCGTCTTGCTAGTGTTAATCTAAGAAGTTAGCAAGCTAGTCAAAACAACCGTTTTTGCAAGAATAGGTTGGCTAGCTAGAATTAATCAGTTCATGCTAGAAATGTTTGCAATATTTTAGATGCAATACTGTTTCCTTATTACACTACATTGTGTCTTATTATGCTTTATTAAGTAATATGTAAGTCCACTCTGACCGAAGTCTGGAAAATAAGTATTTCTGAGCGAAATTCTCAAGACTTTCCTTCCTGAGTTCTGCACAGAATCAGACAGCAAGCATCTGAGATGCAGTATGTGGGCTATAATGCACTCTTCAATTACCCTCCGAGTCTTTTGGGCCACAAAAATGAGCCTAAAAATAATGCATTAGGTTTAAAATATGCATGAGAATGTTACCTGAGAAAGCTTTCAGGAGGTAGAGAGGGTCCTTCACTTTTCTGAGACCACACACCAGCAGAAACACGCGCAGGTCTTCTACTGTATTCACACACACGCCTGCGCAACAGACACAGGAGACTGAACATTAGAACAGGAGCCGAGATTTTTACATGTTCCACACTGGGTCACCACATTTAAAAGGAAGAATTTGGGGTACAGTCAAGTTAAGTTAGGTGTTTTATTACAACCTCATTTCCATAAAAGTTGGGACGCTGTGCAAAATGTAACTAAAAACAAAATGCAATAATGTGGAAAATATTGAAACCATATATTTCATTGAAAATAGCACAAAAAAATTCTATTGTTTATTGAAAAACATTTGCCCATTTTGAATTTGATGCCAACAACATGTTCCAAAAAAGTGGAGACGGGGGAAACAAAAGGCTGGTAAAGTTGTGTAATGCTAAAAAACACCTGGTGGTTGATTGGCAACAGGTCAGTAACATGATTGGGCATAAAAGAGCATCTCAGAGAGGCGGAGTCTTTCAGAAGTAAAGATGAGGAGGGGTTCACCACTCTGTGAAAGACTGCACCATCAAATAGTGCAACAATTAAAGAATAACGTTTCTCAATGCAAAACAGCAAAGAACTTTTGCTTTTCTTCATCTATGGTACATAATATCATTAAAAGACTCAGAGAATCTGGAGAAATCTCTGTATGTAAGGGAAAAGGCCAAAAACCTGTATTTGCTGGCTGTGATCTTTGGGCCCTCAGACAGCACTGCATTAAAAACAGATATGATTCTGCAGTGGAAATCACTGCATGGGCTGAAAAACACCTCTGAAAACCACCGCTGCATCCAGAAATGCAAGTTAATACACTAAAATGCAAAGAACAAACTATATATAAACAGGATCCAGAAATGCTGCCACCTTCTCTGGGCCCAAGTTCATTTAAAATGGACTGAGGGGAAGTGGAAAAGTGTCCTGTGGTCCAACGAATCAACATTTGAAATTCTTTTTGGAAATCATGGACACTGTGTCCTCCAGGCTAAAGACCACTCAGCTTGTTATCAGTGCACAGTCCTAAAGCCAGTATTCATGATGGTGTAGGGGGGTATTAGAGCACATGGCATAGGTGACGTGCACATCTGTGAAGTCACCATTAATGCTGAGCGATATGGTTCCCAAATGCTTACAGAGTGTTGTTTAAAGAAGAGGTGATGAAACACAGTGGTAAACAGGCCCCCGTCCCAACTTTTTGGAATGTGTTGTTGGCATCAAATTCAAAATGGGCATATAAAATAAAAAAAAAAAAACAATAACATTTCTCAGTTTCAACATTTAATATGTTGTCTTTGTAGTATTTTCCTTTAAAAAATATGTTTTACATGATTTGCATTTCATTGCATTCTATCTTTATTTACATTCTGCACAGCGTCCCAACTTTTTTGGAAATGGAGTTGTACCTGAAGTTGTACATATTTGTTTTATCTCATAAATATTAAACGACAAATAGTGAAATCAAATTTACACACTTTTTCCAAAAAAACCCAAATGTAGTTCATCAACATATATTTGCTGTCGGAATATGTTGTAAAAATTTCTGTCACAATAAATAAGTCCGGCAGCAGCGTCCCAGGAGAGGACTGTAGTGATCTTATCAGGACATTCTGTTGTATCCTGAGATTAAACACAGGGGTATCTGCTGTGGGATTATTTAGTTCACAGAGTTAAACTTCGCAAATACGTCATGTCCATGTACAGATTATTTGTTGAAAATCTTATTATACCAAGGTCAAAAGTTCAACGTATATGTAATGTGGAATACATCTTTTTTTTGAAAGCGCACATTAGAGATAAACAGAGGTCATTCCAGAAACATTGTGCATCATTTGTATTCTACTGCAAAATGGCATGTGGTGCTTGGACCCCGACGACTGCCACTTGTAATGTAATTTCTAGATGGTCGCTAAGCTCTCACAGCGGTTGCGACAGTCCACAGGAATCAACTAAATCACTTTCAGACAAAAGCGATGCAACAGCTGATTGTCTCGGTTGCAAACAATGATAACTTTATTAATCTTCTTTGCGCAGTTATTGAAGAATAAAAACTGATTATAAAATAAAATAAAAAAAACACAAAACCTGGTTCTCTTTTCACATTTATAGCAATATTTTACTACTGATTAGCCTATAAAAATAAAATATAATATCTTTAATTTGACTGAATAATGACAGTGAGCTGATGCTGTGTTGTGTTTGGAGGTGATGAATAAAAATTAAGAAAATCTACATGCATAATTAAAAAAATATACCATATGCATACCTAAAAAAGCGCTTACTTGCCTCAAACCTTGTGTAGTTGTTATGTATTCTCAAATAGACTTCATTATGGGGTTTCTAACACTATGACTCACTGTTATGTATACACAAGGACTAAAGTACATTGCTAAGAATGGTAATAGTTATGAATTAGGCATGCACTTAGCACCAGGCTAATTGGTGGGGTATAAGCTTCTATTACTTATTATACATTAGCTACATTAGCATCATAGGTCCAGTGTCATGATTGGCCACATAAATAAGTGCCAAATAAGTGCCATGATTAGCCATAGGTCCAGTAGGTCTAGTGCCATGATTAGCCATAGGTCCAGTAGGTCCAGTGCCATGATTAGCCATGTAAATAAGTGCCAAATTAGGGCCATGATTAGCCATAGGTCCAGTAGGTCTAGTGCCATGATTAGCCATAGGTCCAGTAGGTCCAGTGCCATGATTAGCCATGTAAATAAGTGCCAAATTAGGGCCATGATTAGCCATAGGTCCAGTAGGTCTAGTGCCATGATTAGCCATAGGTCCAGTAGGTCCAGTGCCATGATTAGCCATGTAAATAAGTGCCAAATTAGGGCCATGATTAGCCATAGGTCAAGTAGGTCCAGTGCCATGATTAGCCATAGGTCAAGTAGGTCCAGTGCCATGATTAGCCATAGGTCAAGTAGGTCTAGTGCCATGATTAGCCATGTAAATAAGTGCCAAATTAGTGCCATGATTAGCCATAGGTCAAGTAGGTCCAGTGCCATGATTAGCCATAGGTCCAGTAGGTCTAGTGCCATGATTAGCCATGTAAATAAGTCCCAAATCAGGTCCAGTACCAATGATTAGCCATAGGTCCAGTAGGTCTAGTGCCATGATTAGCCATGTAAATAAGTGCCAAATTAGGGCCATGATTAGCCATAGGTCCAGTAGGTCCAGTGCCACGATTAGCCATAGGTCCAGTAGGTCCAGTAGGACCAGTGCCATGATTAGCCATGTAAATAAGTGCCAAATTAGGGCCATGATTAGCCATAGGTCAAGTAGGTCCAGTGCCATGATTAGCCATAGGTCCAGTAGGTCCAGTGCCATGATTGGCCATGTAAATAAGTGCCAAATAAGTGCCATGATTAGCCATAGGTCAAGTAGGTCCAGTGCCACGATTAGCCATGTAAATGAGTGTTATTACTATTCTTAGTGATGTACTTTAGTCCAGATGTATAGATAACAGTGAGTCATAGAGTTCTACACCTGAAGCCAAACATCAGACACCACACATATCTTGCATGTCTTGGCTGATCGACTGCATCTGAGCTGAACTGAGTTCCTTCGTTTTTTTGTTGAACTATCACTTCAAAAACGCACAACTTGTTGAATCAACTAGGAAGAAGACCGGACACCACACAAGCTCCCAAACACAGCTCTCCAACTGATACGAGCTCTTCTGCAGCCAAGGGACGAGATGTCGGTCAAACCATTGTTCGCTACCTTTATCCGTTTAAGAAAGGCGAATGTAAAACGAGTACAGATGCGAAGTGAAGGCTCATGAGGAATCAGCCGAGTGGAAAAATGTCCTTCTTCTCTACAGTAGCTGGGGTCACACAGGAGGTCACTTCTTATTTCAGCATCATAAGCCAGCCATGTGACCAGCGGCTAGCCGGTAATACGCAAAAAATGACGACCTGATGCATGTTTAATGTGTAATAAAACACAAACTAATTCACAGAGCTTTCAGTCGGAGTCTAATCCATCAGACTGGGTCATAAAAACAGCGGCATTCATGAGAGGTGGGTCGTTATTATGCATGAGTTTGGTAACAACGTGCTTTAGGTAGAATAATCTTCCCGGTGAACTGCAGCGTGGGGGCATTTAGCTCTAATGCACTACAGCACACAATCAGGAGCATTTAGTGAGTGTGAACAGCGGACACTAATAATAGACACGACTTAACGGACCTTCTGCACTGTGAATATGCTGCTTTATTAGCACTGTGAATATGCTGCTTTATTCTGATCCATTTAGTTACGCGCATATTCCTATGTGCATAATTAGAATTACCTTTTTAAAATCTATCCATCTTTCTTTTCATCTACTTTCTGCCTTTATTTTCACTCTTAATTGTAAATATTAAAGTCAAGGTGTTGTATCCCAAATATTTGACTATTCTGTTCTACTGTATTCCAGTTGTATACATTCAGTATGTCTATTAATTTTTTAATTTATTTATAATGCAGCTGTTGTAAAAATCATCTCTTGCTTTCACATTTGCTTTCTGTGAAATAAAAAAAAGGTCTGTATTCTTATTTAGAACACACTTCTGCACATTTTCATATACAATTACTGTTTCTTTGCTGAATTTAACTTATTTTTAATTAAAACATGGGATGTTTCCTGTGCAAATATTATGGCAGATTTTATGTTATGTTTTTCTTTCCGTAATGATAATCCACAAACTGGGGACTTGTTAACTTATTTTCAATCAGAAAATCAACAAAAATGTTTGCATAAAACTGTTCATAAAATTAATACACGTATCTTACTACAATCTTTCTTTGTTCATCTTTCTGTGAGCACCAGAAGACATTGGCTAATAAAAATATTCGAATTCTCAAAGCAAACCAAACGAGCTGTGGGTCAATCTGTGTGAAGTTAAGGTGGAACCAGTAGTGATTTGTGATGCTGCAGTGATGACACCAGTTCTGTGGTTATTTCTGTGCAGTGATGGAGCCAAATCTGTGCTTTTGCCCAGATCATCCTGCATAAATCCCACCTATTCCAGATTACACACACAAATGTGCTGTGGTGTG